CAGCGAATGCACTTAGAATATTGTCAGAGTTGCCAGAGTCGCTTGGTCCATCAAGGAAGGTGCAGAACCAAACAGTTTACAGTTGAATTTGTTACTGCAAAGCAAGCAAGGTCCAGTTCCCAACAAATTGCAACTGCTGAGTTAATAATTGCAAAACTACCTCAGTACAACGCCGCATGGTTTACATTTCTTGCATCTGGCACTGCAAAACACGTATGGTCGCCGCATGGTACATTCCCAACCCGTTTGCAGTTGTTGCGTCTGCCGTTTGCCTGTATAACTGTGCACTTAATTTATGGGCAGCAAATGCACTTAGAATATGATCACAACTAACATAGTCACTTTGAAAATCAATCAAGACAAAGAACAGAAACATACAGTTGGGTTGGGTTCGTTAATTCCTTCAAAACAAAGGTAAATTGCAAAACAAATGCAGCTGTCTCAAAACAATCTCAGTACATCACCACATCAGCTTGCAGTTGTTGCAATTCGTTCGCAAAACACGCTCATGGTACAGTACCAGCTGGTTGGCAGTTGTTGTTTTTGTTTGTGTAAAATTGTGCATTTATAGGCAGTGAATGCACTTAGAATATGGTCAAGGTCAAGGAAGGCACATAACCGAACAGTTTGCAGTTGAGTTCCTTACTGCGAAGCAAGCAAGGTACAGTGTCAAACAGTTTGCAGCTGTTGAGTTCCTAATTGCAACACAATGTCATCCGAGCACCGTATGCTTTACAGTTCTTGCACCTGGTACTGCAAAACACGCATGGTACAGTACCAGCTGGTTGGCAGTTGTTGTTTTTGCTTGTGTAAACCTGTCCATGTATGGGTAGTGAATGCACAAAACAATCAAGGTACAGTGCCAAAAAGTTTGCAACTGCTGAGTTCATGATTGCAAAACAATTTCAGTACAGTACCACGTAGACTTGCAGTTGCTGCATTTCGTTCTGCAAAACACACTCATGGTACAGTACCAGCTGGTTGGCAGTTGTGTTTTTGCTTGTGTAAAGCTGTGCATTTATGGGCAGCGAATGCACTTAGAATATTGTCAGAGTTGCCAGAGTCGCTTGGTCCATCAAGGAAGGTGCAGAACCAAACAGTTTACAGTTGAATTTGTTACTGCAAAGCAAGCAAGGTCCAGTTCCCAACAAATTGCAACTGCTGAGTTAATAATTGCAAAACTACCTCAGTACAACGCCACATGGTTTACATTTTTTGCATCTGGCACTGCAAAACACGTATGGTCGCCGCATGGTACATTCCCAACCCGTTTGCAGTTGTTGCGTCTGCCGTTTGCCTGTATAACTGTGAATTTAATTTATGGGCAGCAAATGCACTTAAAATATGATCACAACTAACATAGTCACTTTGAAAATCAATCAAGACAAAGAACAGAAACATACAGTTGGGTTGGGTTCGTTAATTCCTTCAAAACAAAGGTAAATTGCAAAACAAATGCAGCTGTCTCAAAACAATCTCAGTACATCACCACATCAGCTTGCAGTTGTTGCAATTCGTTCTGCAAAAACCCTCTTGGTACAGTACCAGCTGGTTGGCAGTTGTTGTTTTTGTTTGTGTAAAATTGTGCATTTATAGGCAGTGAATGCACTTAGAATATGGTCAAGGTCAAGGAAGGCACATAACCGAACAGTTTGCAGTTGAGTTCCTTACTGCGAAGCAAGCAAGGTACAGTGTCAAACAGTTTGCAGCTGTTGAGTTCATAATTGCAACACAATGTCATCCGAGCACCATATGCTTTACAGTTCTTGCACCGATGCTGCAAAACACGCATGGTACAGTACCAGCTGGTTGGCAGTTGTTGTTTTTGCTTGTGTAAACCTGTCCATGTATGGGTAGTGAATGCACAAAACAATCAAGGTACAGTGCAAAAAAGTTTGTAACTGCTGAGTTCATGATTGCAAAACAATTTCAGTACAGTACCACGTAGACTTGCAGTTGCTGCATTTCGTTCTGCAAAACACACTCATGGTACAGTACCAGCTGGTTGGCAGTTGTGTTTTTGCTTGTGTAAAGCTGTGCATTTATGGGCAATGAATGCACTTAGAATATTGTCAGAGTTGCCAGAGTCGCTTGGTCCATCAAGGAAGGTGCATAACCAAGCAGTTTACAGTTGAATTTGTTACTGCAAAGCAAGCAAGGTACAGTTCCCAACAAATTGCAACTGCTGAGTTAATAATTGCAAAACTACCTCAGTACAACACCACATGGTTTACATTTTTTGCATTTGGCATTGCAAAACACGTATGGTCGCCGCATGGTACATTACCAACCCGTTTGCAGTTGTTGCGTCTGCCGTTTGCCTGTATAACTGTGCACTTAATTTATGGGCAGCAAATGCACTTAGAATATGATCACAACTAACATGGTCACTTTGAAAATCAATCAAGACAAAGAACAGAAACATACAGCTGGGTTCGTTACTTCCTTCATAACAAAGGTAAATTGCAAAACAAATGCAGCTGTATCAAAACAATCTCAGTACATCACCACATCGGCTTGCAGTTGTTGCAATTCGTTCTGCGAAACACACTCATGGTACAGTAATAGCTGGTTGGCAGTTGTTGTTCTTGTTGATGTAAAATTGTGCATTTATGGGCAGTGAATGCACTGAGAATATGGTCACAACCACATTGTCACTGATAGTCCATCAAGAAAGGTACACAACCGAACAGTTTACAGTTGAATTTGTTACTGCAAAACAAGCAAGATACAGTACTACAAAGTGTACAAGTGTTGAGTCATGATCGCAAACAATCTCAGTACATCACCACATGGTTTACTGTTGTTGCATTTGTTGCTGCAACACATGCATGGTACAGTACCAACCGGTTGGCATTTGTTATTTTTGCTTGTGTAAAACTGTGCATTTCTGGACAGTGAATGCAGTCAGAATATGGCCACAACTGCCAGAGTCGCGTATTCCATCAAATAAGATACAGAACCGGACAGTTTATAGTTGAGTTCTTTGTTGCAAAACAAGCACTGTACAGTACCAAATCATGAAACAGTTGAGTTCATGTTTGCACAACAATTTCAGCAGAGCACCGCATGGCTTACAGTTCTTGCATCTGGGAGTGCAAAACACGCACGGTAGAGTACCAACCGTTTGGCAGTTGTTTTCGTGTAAAAGTGTGCGTTTCTGCGCAGTAAATGCACTTAGAATATGCACACAACTGCCAGAGTCACTTTGTCCATCAAGCAAGATACAGAACTGAACAGTTTATATATAGTTGAGTTTGTTACTGCAAGACAAGCCGTGTACAATACCAACAAAACATAAACAAAATGCAACTGTTGAGTTCATGATCGCCGATAAATCTCAGTACGGCACCTCATGGTTTACAGTTGTTTTTGGTACTGCAGCAAAACAAGCATGGTACAGCACCAACCGGTTTTGCACTTGCTGCTTTTGCCTGTATAACTGTGCGCTTATGGGCAGTAAATGCACTTAGAATATGGCCACAACTACATAGTCACTGATAGTCCATCAAAGAAGGTACCGAACCAACAAGTTTACTGTTGAGTTTGTTATTGTAAACCATGTTCTTGTTGTGTTGATGTATTGGGTTTTGTTCGTTTTCCATTGAGATTTGCGAACCCATACATTGAGGTACTCATGCGGTAGCACGGTAGAGTACCATAGATTGATGGGGAAACCCAAAAAAAAACAGGAACGGGGATAGAGAGAGAGAGAGAGCGAGAGGAGGCTTGGAGGTAATGATTTTTATTGGGAATTACTGGGATATATGGTCGGATGTAGCTAGTTTTTCCTTAAGACAGCATACTACAAAAATATTCTATGTGTACCCCCTCGATTTGAATATTCTTAGTGCTTTTCACCCCGGGCTCAAGTATGTTAAAAATTAACATAAATCCATATTCTAAAACTTTAATCTTTTTTTTAAATTCTAAGTGCCGGTCCGCCACAGTATATATATATATACAGTATGTATATATATATATATGTATAATTATATACAGTATTATATACAGTATTATATACAGTATTATATATACAGTATTATATATATACAGTACAGCATTATATACAGTGTGTATATATATATATTATGTATATACACATATAGAGATACATTATATCTGGGTTTCCTATCATGTATTTTCAGTTCAACCAATTTCTGGGAAAGGTTTTTGGGTTTTGCAAAAAATGGGGTTGATATGTATATATATATATTATAAGTATATAAAAGGGAAGACTGTCTGGTATTTGACATTTGAGCATGTCCATCCTCCGAAATGTGGTATCGTAGGTGTTGACTTATTCAATCCCTGTACACGTTTGCCTCAAGATTAGCAGGATGCACCAATTTTATTGCCAGTTTTCAACAATGGGATTTCACGGATCCAGAATTTGAGTGAATTTGAGACGAGGGGATATTTGAAGGTTTTAAAACAAACTGCACTTGCTATTTGGATGTTTTGCTTTCGAGCGTATCCAAATATCAACTGAGGTCTTGTTGGAAGTGCAAGGTTCTTTGATTGCAGGGGGAACTTCAGACTCCGTAAGGTTGACACTTGATGATTCAGTGTTTCATAGAATTGGATGATGGGAAAATTTTAAGCGGAAAGCCCTATATTTGATGGTAAAAACCATGGTTTCCTGTAGATTTTCCCTTGAACCAATCCAATGAGTGTTGGGCCATGGGCCACATGGGTTTCACTTGGAAAACTCCCCGAGATATCCATTGGTGCACCATCTGTTCGCGTCTCTTCGCCAGGAATTCCATGCCCAGGACCGGAGTGGCAGATGGAAGTGACAGTGACCTTTGATCAGATGGGGTTATCGTGTATTTTCTACATGATCTTGAGACACTTTTTAGTCTGTGGACCATATCAAGTTGTAGATCAATTATTATATCCAGGATGACACGGTTACGGATTTTTTAACCCATGTTTTGCCCGAAAAAATGGAACTATGAAGATCCATGAAGATCCATGAAAATCCTTTTCCAGGCCCCATGGCAGCCACGGCATGTCTGCTTCAGCATCGTACGGAGCTCCAAGAGCGGGGCATCGAACTCATCGAACTGGTTCCTTTTTTTGCAAGTCACCAAAAAAATAGAAATCAAAAATCAACCAGAAAAAGGTATGAAAACTGGATGGTGGTTTCAAACATGTTTTATTTTCCATAATATATGGGATAATCCTTCCCATTGACTAATATGTTTAAAGATGGTTAAAACCACCAACCAGAAAAGGTTGGGATCTTATACCCCAAGCAAAATGGGTGGTCAAAGTTAGGCACCCCAAGCATTGGATGGTTAATGCTAAACATGAACTCGAATTTCTATGAATTTGTTCTCCCCAGGTCTTTAGTTTTGACCCATCCCCATTCCATGTGTATCGTTTTCTTTGCGGAAACTTGTTTACTGGGAAACCTTTGGGATGTGCTGCTTTGATGGCAGTGCTCACATGTCACAGACTGTCACAGATGGCAGGCATAGGTTACACAAAAAACAGTGTGTGTCAAACACTATTCGACTGATTCTACCAGTATACTCATTAAAAACAGGTTGATTCAGATTTCTGGCAGTTTTACTTACGATATCTTAAGATACTAAAGTTAAGTATATATGGATGAACTGCATAATGAATTATGGTACTTCTATGTCTATACTCGACTGACTTAACTTAATAATTCGATCCTATAATGGTGTTTTCCTGGCCGAACAAATAACACATGGTGCATCCTGCGGAAAGAATGGAAGCTGGGCCTCAATTTCGTCTTAGAAGTTTAGGATATAGATTCTAAATGATTCAAATAGATGAGATTTATTGATTGTAGATTGTAACTTTTCTCAACAAGATAGACACATGACTCGTAAAATCATCATCAAAACGGTAGTAGATCCATCACTTTCAGCGATCTTTGGCCCCCCCCCGTCCCGAGGCCCTTCTAAGCTCCAGCCCATCGCTCACCTCAATTGGTGTCAGGGATCCTTGATGGTTTTGGTGCGGTAAGCAGAGGTCCACTGGGTGAAGCAGATTTGATGTTCGATTCACAGGATGTTCAGCAGGAAACAGGGCTGAGATCCGCCACTGTTCTTGGGAATGGACGATGGCATTTCAGCAACAATGACAAGCAATGACGATGTGACAATGACTGGCAGAGATTTAATACGTATCCGGAGAGTTTTTTTCGGGAACAGCTTTGTGAGACTCCGAAAAAAGTTAACGTTTTTGATTTGAAAGACGCTGTGTGTGTGTAAATGATGGACCCTCTGGTAAACTAACATAGCTATTGAAAATGGCCATAGAAATAGTGAGTTGTCCCATGAAAAATGGTGGATCTTTCCAGTTCGCTATGTTAGTCATTACCAGAGGGTAAATGTATTCGAGCTGTGTGAATAGTCGATGTGATGTACTGGTTTTTGTCTTGATGAAGTCCAGGGAGTTCAGGTTCCTGCCGAAAATGGCACCTGGCTATTGCCTGGCTCATTGGTCCTTTGTTCCAGCAATCAAGGTTTGCATGTATCTGGGTAAATTATAACGACCTCACTACGACCTCACTGGAAATCATGGTTAGTAAGGGAAATCATCTCCAAATGGCCTTAATTCAGGTTAGTGAAATATTATAATTTACCCAGATGTATCTTCTCACTGTCAAACCTCTCCAAAACTTTAAGATATGCGATCCTGCAGGAACTTGTGGACAAACAAAGATACCCTCTGGTAAACGTTTACATAACGAACTGGAAAATCACCATGCTATTCATGGGTAAATCAACATAAATCAACTATTTCTATGGGTCATTTTCAATAGCAAACTGTAAACGTTTACCAGAGGGTACTCTATGAAAACTCTATGAAAACTCTAGTTGAAACACCCAGCTGATTCATCCCCAGTGGGCCGCTCCGGCGTGGGGTGCCCCAGGTTATCCCAACGGCCAGCCGTCATGGTCTCAGTGCGAAGCCTTTCTGAGCCAACTTCAGGATCCCATCTTTCCGGGGCTGCTATTTGTTGGGAAATTTCAGCTCTTGGTTCTACCTCAAGTATCCTCAAGTATCCTCAGGTACCACTGTTTGCCTTGGATTATGTTTGAAAATTCTCACTGCATTGCCGCTGTGGTTTGAGGGAGGATTCACTCCCCTTCGGGGCCCCAAACACCGCATCTGCTCGAGGCCCAGATCCAATACCGCCGTTGATCCAGCGCCGCGAGACGCTTCGTGCGGCAGCAAACCAGGGCATGACAGAGAGGTTGAAAGCTGTTGAGGAAAAAAGGCAATTGATACCCTCTGGTCAACGTTTACACAAACGAACTGGACAATCACCATGCTATTCATGGGTAAATCAACGAACTCAATGGCACTTTTCAATGTCGCAAACTGTTAGTCATTACCAGAGGGTATCATATCATTAACTATTATTATAACATATTGTAACCATTATTATCCATTATTCACTACTTTTCAATAGCAAACTGTTGATCGCCCAAGTTACTGGATCTCATGATCTACAGCTACCATTATGTGTGGAAATTCGGATCCGATCCAGTGTCCGACAGGCTGAGAAACACAGACGAGCTGTTGTTTTTCCCGCATGCACTGATGTGGCTCCACTCGTAAGTAAATAGGTCGATAAAAATTGATGAGTAAATTTAATATAATATAAAACCAACACATGAGTAACCGACAAAATTAGCGGAAGACTAAAGTAGCGGGGAGTGGACATGGGATGTTCAAATTTGTGCGAACACATTCACAACCGACAGGGGACCACCCACTTACCGATACCCTATTTTTGCAGATAGCATGTAAGTACAAACCTTCACAACCGATAGGGGACCACCCACTTTGGCTATGTCCATTGCGGGTAGTAAGATGTAGTAAGTAATTTTGTCCGCCGCTCATATATCGATGCTGCAGTGAAAGAACCACATTGGGCACTGAGAATAAATACGTTCATCATGTCCCATTCATCATGCTCCGTCATCAAGTTCTGTGGATTTCGAGATTCATGGTCTCAAGCCCTGCGCTGCTTTCTACGTTCGGTGCGTGAAACATTTTAGAGTTCTTTTGTATTTGGACCCGTGGTCTCAAGGTGCACCTGAGTTTGGGATACCCAGCTGTTGGGAATCAATTCGCTCTCCAGAAGCTTAATCTTTCCAAGAAGATGCCTGGAGATCACGCGTCTCACTGCGAAGTGCGGTGTCACAGCAGAACGGACCATGAATAGCGAAGGACACGTTGGCGCATGAATAGAGCTGCAAGAAAAAGCTGAGTCCTTGCCTTGAGACACTTGAGAAACTTGCAGATTCACAAGGCTTTGTTGCAGGCCGCAGTCCAAATATCGCAGATTCGTGCGGAGTGGAACTCACCCGCCGAATTCCTCAGGACTTTCCAGATGCCTCTCCTTGTTCGAAACAGATCTCCCCAAGTCATGTTTATGTGGACTTTTGTGGAATGTTGTTCCATGATTTTGCACATTTTTGATTATCAAGTACCTCGGAAATTTTGTAAACGATAGTAAACCAATATAAACCGATTGCATTGGAACTTTTAAATGTTTTTTCTTATGGCTACTTGGAGGGTCGAGTCTAAATATGTTGCGAAAAGACGAAGCCAATTTTCTCAAAGCCCTAGAAGTGGGTCACATCCCCTCGCAGGCAATTTAGCCCTGGAGCTGCATCCTCTGCTTACACCAAGACCATCTACAGAGGTTTTGAGGCATGGGGATGGATAGAAAATCCACAAAAACTGGCCCAAAATCCTCCAAAATTCAAGATCCAGTGATCTGCAGCTTCCTAAAATCCCATCCTAACTGCCTCTGGAGTTGCAATTGTCTTGGGGCTATTCTTGATAGAGGTCAAAACCTGTAATGTGTCCATGTTTGGGATGAACATCCATGAGCACCACTATTTGGTGGAAGTCAGGGGATTTCAGGTGAACATCATCGGCCATGGAGACGGCACCATGACAATCGCTTCGAATTGGGGTGTTCCATGGTGTAATGTTCAGACAAACTGATCTCTGCAGGCTTCGCAGACTTGTTTGATGATCATATCATTCAGTGAAATTCAATGTATCTATAATTTAATTAACCTACAAGGTGGGGCCCCCCAGTTATAAGTTGGTTTATAAACCCCATTAACTATAGTTATAAGTTATAAGTACCATAAACCATAGTTATTGGAGTTATAAACCAACTTAGCTATCTTGGGGGCACCACCTTGTAGATAACCAAAACCCTTAAGAATTCATGTTCTCAAGGAATTTATAACATGGATCTGCATTTTGTGATGAGCAACGTCACCAATTTCGGTGTGCCTTTTTTGCTTTCGCACCGGGCTGCAGGAGCCGGAAATTCTGACCCCAAGCTCCTTGCCCGCGACGCCCACATGCGACTTCGACTCCCCAGGGCACGGGCACCCAGGGAACCAGGGATGGTAAGGGGATGGTAAGGGGGCGAAGATTGATGAAATTCCAAGTGAACTTGGAAGAACTTGGTGGAAAGTTTCCAGGAAAGTTCGAAAGTCATGGTATGTCATGGTACCTTGCGTGAACTGCTGCACAATGCTTCGTGACTCATGGACCACTTTTTGAGTCAGAGACACATTTTCATTGCGAGGGGATTGTAAATGAATACTTTCAAAGCAATGGCTATGACTGTGCAGTCTTTCATTCACTTTCTGCACCAAATGCAGATTGCAGAGACCTTAAAGCAATGTAGCAACTCACTCCAGGAGCGCATTTGGGGTTCTTCCCCATTCTAGAAAGTAACAGCTGCATATGCACGAGTCAAGATGACAACACGACAAAAAACTAGTTTGGCTGTTCACTCATTTTCTCCCTACTTGGGCACATGATCCCAAATTTACCAGCACTTTGGGAACCACCAGTGATTTTCGTGTGTCGTTGATCCATTCAATCCCTGATTTTGTTGCCAAAATCGTAGTTCGCTGGACCACTCCACCATGTACCATGAACGAAGCGAGGTATGAAGATGCAGAGCCAGAAACTCCGGCTTTAGAGGCACGGAAACAGCCCATCCAAATGGATCGACCCCTGGTGGGCCGGTAAGGGGATAACCTGCGAAGTCTTCAGGTTGGTGAATGAAACATCATGAACATATAAAATTCGGCCAGTTCCAATACGTTCCAATAATATCCCAGGGGCAATCATCTTCTATGAGAGTGAGAACAGGGAAACATGTCCCTTTCATTCCAAAGCCATTTCTGCAGAGTTGATAGGCTGACATAGGCTATGCTCAGGATATTGTTTGATGGTTTATGGACAAGTCGTCTCTATGTATATATATATATACATAATATTTACTGGTAAAACTATATATATATACAGTATCTATCGCTGTATATACATTATATATATAGAGACTACATATTAATAGTATACATAAGATAACATAAATATTTAGATATGTATCTGACAGATATGTTGTATATATGTATATTATGTATGCATACACTATTTTTACACCTACCCATCCAATTGACTCTACATCTCAACCATGGAAACCCATCATGATCATGGATCTGAATTTATACCGCTCAGAGATATTGCGGGAGTAGCCTTGTTAAGGATTTAAAGCATTGATAGAGGCATTTACGGCTAAAGTCCAGCAACTGATTCAATAGTGGTAAATCTTATGGCCTTTCCCATAGCCCTTTAAGCCCAACATATTGTACAAATGCGGAAGACATTGCACCCATTTTCATCACCATCTCCATGAATTCACGCATTTCTTTGAAAGGTTTATTGAAAAAAACTAAAAACAACACCCTCCAAATGGTATTCAAATGGTAAGCCCGGTAAGACTGGGTGACAGTCTTCGGCCGCAGTCAAGGTGGACGATGAAGGGCTCTATGCCTGGGAAGAAGAACAAGTGAGATCAGGTGGCTCCGGTGGAAGGAATGTTTGTCAAGAAAAACATACCATCCATTTATCGCGTACTTACCTACTGTTATTATATATCTATATATCTGATTCTATCTGTATATATATATAACAAACATGCTGGACAACAAAAAAGTTGCTTTTTTTGTACTGTAAATGCCAGTAAATAAGGCTAGAGGTAGGTTCTGGTGGGGGGTGACCACATACATACATACATGCATGCATGCATGCATGCATACATACATACATATATATATGTATATATATATGTGTATATATATATGTATACACATACATACAAAAATCACCAATACCCCAATACCATTTCCATCCATGCACGTAGGTATTATAGCATGGTTTACCCTCATGCATTTGTCGCAAAATTACCACCATGTGGTAAATACACCAGAGATGGATGGTATGGAAAAAGATGTGGCACCAACAAAATCCACTGAAATGGTTTCCGTCTTGACATGTCAAAAACAACCGTTGGATTCATGTTCAGGTACTTGATCACTTTTGGAGCATCAAAACCTTCAACATCAGTTGTTGATTTCCATGGAATTTAACTGGAAAAAATACGCGCACCTTTGCACATGCCAACCCTCATTAGTGGGCATTAGTTTGACAATTATTTTTCTGGTCACCAGGGTCTTGATCCATGCCCATCTATCCAAGAATTAAGTGACCGGAGACTGCTTTGAAATTGGGTTGGTCAAAGTCATGTGCTTCTGATTTTTTCACAACAAAACATTGGTCCATTGAATGTCATCTTGGTTAGTTCGGTCCCTAATGGTTGATAATTCCCAATAAGTGCCCTGTCAGATTTGCACCAATCATATGGTTGCATTTGTTCATATGATATCTAACTTGAAAATATGAAACACAGCTAAGTTAATTAAGTTAGGACTAAATACCAAAATATGATAGTTAATATATATATATATATACTTTCAAGTTTCGTCTAACTTGATATTTCAAGTCTCAAGTCTTGATTTCCTCCATCTCAGACCAATCCCTTGAATCAGGCCATCCACCCAGCGGCCTCATCGACCTACGCATGCTCAGGCCAAAGAAGTGGATCTAACCAACAAAAATGTACAAAAAATGTGTTAAACAACCAGAGAAATATGCCATCTAAGTAGCAACATGAGTCAAAAACAAAAAAACGACATGTTTCAACCAGCCAACTAAAACCGCGACCTTTGGGATTTGACCTGCACGTTGTTCAGAATGTGAAACCGCGGTGGTTTCAAGCAAGTTTTTAGCAAAGAGAGTTGAATTATGCGTCATTCATATAAAACATGTATATGGATTTGGTTTGAATGTTCATGTATATATATATAATATATATAAACATACTTATTATAAACATTCAAACCAACCAAATCCATGCTTTATATGCTTGTCAAAATAACGTGGAACTAACAACCTTGGGCTTTGAACTCTTAGAACTCATATATGATTCCTCACGGGCATTCGAAGGTGGCATGGTAGGTGACTCCAGTTTTTTTTTAGGATGGCTGAGGGGAATCATCCTCGAAGAATTAGTGATTCAGACATGGGGATGGGTGAAAACTTATTATCATTATATTTCGGGGAAGAACTGTTCATTCACCAACTATTTTAGGGTACCTGGGGTCCTAGGGTTTTGACTCATAGCCAAATACCCATCGAAATATCATCCTCAAGCAACTGGATAGGTACTATAGTTGAAATCCTTTCGCGCTTTTTCTGTAAATCAAACATCACCATAACCAGCAACATATGTTTTTTTTTGTGGACTAGCAAAAAAATGGGCAATGGTATCAGTGACGACTTGTTCATCAATCCTTGAAAGTGTTACAATTACTAATCCATCGATTTGGATTTAGTTAGTTTATTTCGAGAGAAATTGAAATTACTCCTGGATACGTTCGATTGGATTGAGTGTGTACAAGTGAGTCTGCATACACTAAATATGTGACAGGGGATATACTGCGTTATAGTTGGATATATTGGGATACATATGTTGGATATATTGTATGGGTCAAATTCGCATGGCTGGGAAACCTCCAAAGTGTCCCTTTCCCAACCAGAATTTGAACAAATAAAATGAAAACTGGATTTTGCAAGACCAGTACCTTGTCTCGTTACCGTCATATACCCTCCGGTAATCAAACGTGGCAATGGGAAATCCCCTATAAATGGAGGTTTTAATTTAAGTTTTAATGGGTAAATCATCTACAAATGGTGGATTTTCTATTGCCACGTTTGATTACCGTCATAGAGTCTGGTTGGTGGTTTGGAACATTTTTTATTTTCCACAATATATGGGATAATCCTTCCCATTGACTTTCATATTTTTCAGAGGGGTAGGTATACCACCAACCAGCTTATAATATATATATATATAGCCATAATCACCATAATCATGAACAAATATAGTCATATAAACCTATAGTCATATAGTCATATCATAGTCATATCATATTAACCATTAAATTATAGTCATTATAGTCATATAGTCATTGGTCTCCCGTTGATTTTCTGGGGCTCCGCTTACCGCTCTGGCGCTTAAGCGGCAGGGCACAGCAAATGGGCTCCGCGGGGACGCCCAAACAACGAGACGGTCGGGTTCAGCATGGAGCGGGTCCCTTTTTGTGGGACATTTCCCAGTTAGATCCGTTGCTTAACCCCATCTACCCTCTGGTAAACTAACAGTTTGCTATTGAAAATATGGCTCATTTAGTTCGTTGATTTAGCTATGAAAGTGCTGATGTTCCAGTTTGTTACGTTTGTTTGAGGGTATCTGCAGATAGATCTAATAGTCTCGGATAGACTCTAGTGAACCTTAGTATACGTATAAAGGTTATAAAGCAACCTGGCTATCTGAGACGGGCCCCATCTTGTACTGACCTAGCGGAAACACCCACCATGCTTTCCCCAGGCCCTGAGCTTCGAGCAAAACACGCCCACCTGTGAAACGGACGAGGTGCATGGGAGCAACTGATTCCGATGGTTGAGATATGCTGGTTGGTGGTTTGGAACATGAATTTTATTTTTCCATAATATATGGGATAATCCTAAACCCATTGACTTTCATATTTTTCAAGATGGTTAAAACCACCAACCAGTATGAGTCTGTCTGAAAATGGGGAACTTCCCGGCTGGTATACCCACAAAAATCCATCAAACATGACCACTGCTCGAGTGGGATGGCCATGGTGAGAAAACCATGGGAGTTGGGGGTACAGTACGGTGGGTTCCTGCTTGCCTTGCAAATCCTGATCCTCACCGACCAGTCCGACCTGTCAAAGCCATCGGATCCCACCGGTCAGATGTTTGAAGATAAAGTAATATAAAGTATATCAGTATATCATGTGTTTGCACACTACTTGGAGGATCATCGCACTTAGTCAGTGGTTAGTAGCGCGAGTTAGAAGCTATACATCGGATAATCCACTTGGGGGACTTGCGATCACCAGGGTTGAACCACTTGACCACTCACGATTCGTGGGATTATCCTCCAAGTGGCTGAATCCCAAGAAATGGAAGCACTGAAGATGACGACTTTTTATCGGGTTCCTGGGAGTGGTTGGGTTGGTGGATGGGTTTATTGATCGCCAAATTTTGGAGAATATATGAGATTATCAAGTCTGAATATGATCTATCTAGCCATGAATGTATCCAGATTTTGTTGGATGTGTCCTAGATTAGAAAAAACTAAAAACTATGATTATCCAGGACACTGATACGGTCCTATTTTGGTTGGAAATCCTTGCACATTGCCTGCCACCTGAGGAGGAAGAGGAGGATATGTGGGAAGCTCAATGAGTAGCGCACAATCCTGTGGAGGGTCCTGTTTAAACAATCCCAGTGCGGGAGAATTTGTAGATGATATGATTAGATTCTAGATGCGTGATATTTTTTTTTCGGTATGCGTTTCCTCTCTCTTTCTCTCTGTACATGCATGTCTTATGAACAGTACATGCCGCTCGATTTTGGGTTCAAAGTTGCCCATCAAGACGAAGGGGAATCACAGAGGGGTCCTTCCACCCTTCAAGATTGATGTTGGGTCCCATTTGCACAGGGCAGAGCAGTTGGAGATTGATTTACACACTTTATGCATTTAAAATATCATCCCACCCAGGATAATAGTTACAGCAATACATCGTCCAAGCATGGCCGTCAACTGACAATGGGTCATAAATCGGTTTCGATCAAAGACCAACCAATACTGGGTACTGCACGATGTCAACTGATTACCAAAGAAAGACGCGCTGGTGTGTTATCCGAGCATAGGTACTATTAGACACGTGGAACTACATGTTTATGATGTTTATGTGTAGAGATGATAATGAAACATTTGCCGAAATGGTTCTATCAGTTTCTAGTTCCTATTGATTTATATATATATATATATATTATAGTATATGATATATATATATACCATCTGGTTATTTAACATATAGCCATGGAACATCATATTTTTTAATAGGTAAACCATCTGTAAATGGGCCATTTCCCATGGCTATGTTAAATAACCAGAGGGTATATACATAAACATCCCGGCGCCTGGTTTACCGCGCGTGTGTTTTGGCATTTTCTCAAGAGTCTTTATGATGACCTTCATGTTTATCTCTTGGTATTTGCAGGACTTTTGAAGCAATCATCATCATGTTTGGTCACAAAATGTGGCTAATTCCATTGTGTTCTATTTTTTCATCATTTTTCGCTTGTATTTGCACGCTTTTGTGAACGCCAGGAGTAGAAAGAGGCTGTTTCAGGATGCCTTGTTTTTTGATGGATTTGCGTTTCGCCACAGGGAGACAACAAACAAATTGGACTTTTCGTTTTTTTTTTTTCTGGCGCAGCACTTTCACTGCATGTTCCCTCGAAGAGTCTTCGCGTGTGCAAGTGCAAGAGACGAGGTCGGTAGCGTAGCATCAGGTATGTGTGCAAGTGCAAGAGACGAGGTCGGTAGCGTAGCATCACGTATGTGTGCTAGTGCCATTGAACGTTATTAGCACCCACCCACCCCCCCACCCCAACCCATTTGTAGCGTAGCGTCAGGTATGTGGTGCAGTGCAAGAGACGAGGTCGGTATCGTAGCATCAGTGTATGTGTGCAAGCGGAAGAAGACGAGGTCGGTAGCAGTAGCACTGATGTGTTCAGTGCCAGAGACGAGGTCGGTACTAGCATCACGATTTGGTGCAAGTGCAAGAGAAGAGACCGGTAGCGTAGCACACGTATGTTGTGCTAGTTCTTATTGAACTTTATTAGCGCCACCCACCCCACCCCCCAACCCATTGTAGCGTAGCATCAGGTATGTGTCAAGTGCAAGAGGCCGAGGGTCGGCATCATAGCGTCAGGTATGGGTGTGCAAGTGCAAGAGACGAGGTCGGTAGCGTAGCATCAGGTATGTGTGCAAGTGCAAGAGACGAGGTCGGTAGCGTAGCATCACGTATGTGTGCTAGTGCCATTGAACGTTATTAGCCCACCCCACGTAGCATCACGTATGTGTGCAAGTGCAAGAGAAGAGACCGGTAGCGTAGCATCACGTATGTGTGCTAGTGCTATTGAATGTTATTAGCCTACCCCACCCCACCCCACCCCAACCCATTTGTAGCGTAGCATCAGGTATGTGTGCAAGTGTAAGAGACGAGGTCGGTAGCGTAGCATCAGGTATGTGTGCAAGTGCAAGAGACGAGGTCGGTAGCGTAGCATCAAGTATGTGTGCTAGTGCCATTGAACGTTATTAGCCCACCCCACCCCACCCCAACCCACCCCACCCCATCGGCCCAAAAAAACACAAAAACGCACGTACGGTAAACCAGCCGCCAGCATAAACATGTATCATAGCAATCAAACGAATCAACCAACAATGGTTTAGATGTTAAGCCGCAACGCGGTTCCTCAGGCCTCCCAGCTCTGTGGGGAGCCCAAAATATGGGCGGGCCCGCGTGCGCAGGGCGCCATGTCTGAGTTGGTGATCTAAGTGGTTATTTAATTGGTTAATAATGGGAAATAGTGGTTAATAGTGGTTAATTTTGAAGGTTTGCTGAAAGTAATAGTGGCTAATAGTGGTTAATAATGGGAAATGATGGTTCAAGTTGATGGTGATCAATAGTGGTCAATAATGGTTGATAATGCAGTGTTGATAATGCAGGAGGATATGGAAATTTCCTAAAATGGAGGTACCCCCAATTCATCCATTTTAATATAGGAATTTCCATTATCAACCATCCATCTTGAGGAACCATTTAAGGAAACCTTTATATATATATATAATTTTAGGAAGATTCTATCGATAACCTGAGGTAAACCCCTAGGGTAAACTCACTGGAAGATATGGAAAACCCATGGAAAAACCAATGGATTCCCTGGTGGACATGATCAATGGTGGGCTTTCTGCATCCCTGTTACGAACGAAAAAAGAGATAGAAGTGTGTGTAGTAGAACTTTGATGAACTATGTATATTACATATCTTGTTGGTGGTTTCAAACATTTTTTATTTTCCTAATATATGGGAAAATCCTTCCCATTGACTTTCATATTTTTCAAGATGTTTCAAACCACCAACCAGACATATATATATATATATATATTAATATTGACAGTATCATGATTTAACCACGCATCAAAACCAAATTCGGAGATGTATCTTTCTATAACTTAGAAACTGGGCCTTGACCAGTAAAAAAAATGAGTAGTTTAACCGGATTAGATCGGATTAGACACTTATTGCCAACCAAAATGGAGAGGATGTACGACCGATGCATGTTTTTTTTTGTACAGGCAACAGATCATGGATGACAACGGGCTATATGGTATAATTCTTATAACCAACAATACTTGAGATGATGTGAAATAGTCAATGAATTGATCATTGATGGCTCAAATTTCAGACCTAGGAGCCAAAGATGAAACTATTCGGGGGAACATCAGGAAGTGACTTGTGTGAGCTTCTTCCTGGTATCGTCAAAAAACAACATGACCAAGTGACCAAGTGTGTATAGCAATACATATATATATATTTACATAATTATATACATATATCAGTATATATGTCATATACTATATATATATGGTTGGTGGTTTGGAACATGAAGTTTATTTTCCATAATATATGGGATAATCCTAAACCCATTGACTAATATTATATATATATGTATGTATACACTATATACATGGAATTTGAGGGCCATGTGACAAAAAAAACGTGAACCACAAGGCATCGGCCCAGCAGATGGTGAAGACTGAGGCGCGACGGGCATCCTGAAGTAGCCATGTTATAATGGGGTTATTATGGGGATATGTGGTTATAATATTATTTATATATATATACATATTACATATATATATAACACATAATGGATATGCCCATATATTATAAGGTTGTACTTCAACGTAGCAAACTGGAAAATCCCCATGGCCAAGCCATGGCAAACTGTTTTTGTTTTTTCACCAGAGGCTGTTGTGCTGGATCAAGTCATGAGGTTTTTCCCGAATTTTGTTGGTAACAGACATATTACCCTCTGGTAAACTAACGTAACTATTGGAAATCACCATGTTTAATGGGAAAACTCACTATAAATGACCATTTTCAATAGCTATGTTAAATTACCAGAGTGTAACAGACATATTAAAAATTGTGATTTTCCATGGTTAATAGTGGTGAAAATCTTGGTGAATGGATGGTGAGCAATGGATAATAAAGGTTATAATAATGGTTTTTATGATATGATACCCTCTGGTTATGACTAACATAGCCATGGTATAGATGGCCCACAGAAATAGATGATTTTCCCAGCTAGAAACCTCCATTTATGGTTGGGATTTTCCATGGCTATGTTAGTCATAACCAGATGGTATATCTTAGGGGGATGAGATTACCTGAATGTGGGATGGAATGCATCAACATTTGCATAATGTGCCTCCAAGAGTTGCATAGAGTCCCGATGTACACCAGAATCCTCTGGGAAATATCTTCAGTTTTATTGGGCCTATATCAGGAGGTCCATGTCCATTTGTACATGATAGCTTCCGCCACATAGTTCGGATGAAGGAGCAATCAATGTTGGCCCAATTCGGCAAGTTACAACAGGTGGCTGGCGTTGGTCGATTCAGTGAAGTTTTGTTTCAGGTGTATACCAACACATTGGAGTCGCAAGATCAGATCCTGCTATCAAGAACCCACCAAGTCTATCCAAATCTACAGAAATCTACTATCCCATGAAGTATATTGATTACATTGTCCATTCCTTTTGCTGGGCTCGAAACGCATTCTTGTTGGCGAACATATTCTCAGCCTTGCTTCGGAAACAACCCCCCCCCTACCCATTGGTTGGTGAAATTCTGACTTTGCCTGGCTCCCAGTTGGTGGGTCAAGGTGCGGAATTGCGTAATTTTTCTATGCCCATTGCTGCGGCCACAATCCAAGTTTTGCAGTGTGAGTTTCCACTTTGGTTGATAAATATCGAATATCCTTGTATTTTGATTAAGTTCCCTTTTCACTCGGCGAACATCCACATGGTGTCGCATAATTTTCCTGTGCTTCTCCTGCTTGAAAGTGAATTTGGGTTGATTAATATCAATGTTTTCTGAGTCAAATCCCTGTTTTGCGATATTTTAATTGATGAATATCCTTACTTTGGTTTGTAAATCACTCAGTTCAGCTGATACATATCCTTTCTTTATTCTAGATCTCCTCCCTACACCGAAGACATGTGAGGAGCCCGATGAAGACCAGCCCCCTGCGGGGAGCTCCAAGCGAACGGTTCTCGGCCAGGCAGCATGGGGGTATGAGCCATTTTCCTGGTGATTATATGGAGATTTACCATGACTTACCATGATTTTAATGGTTTGGATGTGTATTTATATTTCATTGCCTTCGGCAAGCCCGCCCGCCATAGAGAGGTGGCCCCAAGGGAGTTTCATGTGCATTGTAGGTGGAAGCCCGCGAGAGAGCAGAAGAGAAAAGAAGTAGAAGAAGAAGTAGAAGAAGAAGAAGAAAGGCAGACGAAGACAAAGCCGTAAAACGGAAGCGGCTTGTGTTTGCTGCAACAACCTATTGACCGTATACCAAATTAGTACCGCCCCCAGCAAAGTAGCGCCAGGTACTATGTATGAGCCTCTGGCTTGACAGCAGACCGCTGCATGGAAGGAGACAGGGCGGAAGCGGAGAGAGATTGCCCCAAGGGAGGTTGACGTGCATACTAGGTGGAAGCCTGAGAGAAGAAAAGACCAAGACAGAGCCGTAGATCAGAAGCAGCTTGAGTAGCAAGTGCGTGCTTGAACAACCAATGGAACACATACCAAATGAGTACTGGTTGATCAGTACCGTGTGCGTCCTGTGACGAGTACCTGTAGATGACTGTAATGCTGTAGGCAGTGTCATTAGTTGCCGGCACTACCAGTGTAGTACTTGGGGAAGAAGGGAGGAAGGAGTAGAGGAGTAGAGGAGTAGAGGAGTAGAGGAGTCGGAGTAGGCGTTGGAGTAGGCGTAGGAGTAGGGGTAGGAGGAGGAGGATGAGGAGGAGGAGTAGTAGTAGTAGGAGTAGTAGGAGTAGTAGTAGTAGTACTAGCACTATTACTAGTACTAGTACTGCACTAGTACGAGCACGAGTACGAGTACTAGTAGTACCTTGATTCAGACGAAGCAAAAACGCGCAGCAAGAGAACAAAGGAACAAGGACAAGCCAAGAACAGAAACAAGAACAACACCTTCCAATCAGACACGCCGTCAGGCCGGCGGATTTGTATATAACCATGAGGTCGTTAATAGTCATTCTGAGTACATTATAACCACCTCATTGCGATCTCACTGGAATGATGGTTTGTAATCAAATCATGCTTACCGACAAAAACCATTCAACAAGAACAATGTGCCTTTCTATGTATTTCTACATTTTTCAAGTTGTCAGGTCTATGACATATGATCATTTGCCATTTTCGGCATTGAGTTTTGATCCAGAGTTTCTGTCTATAAGGCTACCCTGGGCCACAGGCGAAGACAGAGCCAGCCCTGGAAATTCCCAAGGCTGAGGCGACTCGAAACGTTGGGGCCCGTGGGGCCTGTGGCAGGGATTACGGTGGGGCATTTATTGAAACTCTTGAGATGATCCCTGCACCTTTTGCAGTTCATAGTTCATATATATATATATATGATATATATATCCATATATATATATATATATATGCACATACATATATATATATATATATATACATGGTAAATACCTCCCACAACCACGGCTACAAATCATCTATGGAGCAGCACCAATTGGAATTCTGAATGACAGGGTGACCAGTCAAAATGAGATGAGTTGATGGAACTTCGTGAAGCATTGGCAACTTAGTTGGGGTTCCTACAGATGAAGTTCTGGAATCGTCCCAACGGTGTAGCGTCAACATGTTTTTTTCTCCGATCTTTTGACATCAGCACGTGTTTTGGGACAGATTGAAATCACCAAACATATCCAAAAAAAGGCCCATGAATATCCATAGATACAACGTTTTTTTTTTAATAATAGTTTAAAAAAAATGTTGCTTTAGACATTGACCTTGCCTTCAGGCAAGCGAGAGTTCAGCGGCACGACCGTCACAAGAGGCCAGAGTGATGCGTGCCAGTCGTTTTTGCGAGGATGACAGACAGACAAACAGACAGAGAGACAGAAAGAGGGGGGAGGGGGGGAGACTAGTGATACATCTATCCTTTGGATCCCTCTGGTAATTTGACCTTGCCACAACTATGGAATCTATGGAACATGCCCCACTTATAAATTATTTACCTTTTAAATTAAACATGTTCACTTTCCATGGCTACCTACGTATTACCAGACATACCTATATAGAGATAATGAGTACACGTGAATGATGCTTGGGGGCCTATTTCCCAGCAATTTAATCGTCGATTTTGGGTTGGTTATTTGGGAATGGAAGAGCGCGGGGGTTTCTTCATTACATCTGATCAACTGATATCAACTGTACACCATGAGTGGTATCGCCAGTTCACCCTGGTAACCCGCTAATGCCAAATTCAAGCTGAGGAACTCCTGAATTTTCGGTTGCCTTTTTGACATTTAGGTTTGTCCGAAAATAGGGTAAATCATGGTAAATTATCACAATGTTCACTTTGAATGGTGGATTCTGGGGTGTACCCCGTTTCCAGACACAACATGCATAGATTGGTGGGTTGCAGACTCAATTTCATAGTTCAAGCATGTTCAATCCCCATTGTTGACGATGAACTCCCAATTTTGGATCGTCATCGATGCTTCAAATTCTACTAAATCACGATGTTCAATGGTTAAATCCACATTTTTCCATGATGAACTCCCAGATTTTCATGGTTTAAAAGTCCCCAGACTTCAGATGGGAAATCTCGTGGTCAGCGCTGAGGTGACCGGCCCGGAGGAAGAACTGTCGGGAGATCAGTTCAACTGTCGGGTGGAGATGTGGAGATAACTCACTGGTGGTTAAAAATGTACGGAATGGGGAAATACGTATGTATACATACATTACATTACATTAAATTACATTACATTACAGTACATTACAGTACATTACAGTACATTAGAGTACATTAGAGTACATTACATTACAGTACATTACAGTACATTACATTACATTAAGTTACATTACATTACAGTACATTACAGTACATTACAGTACATTACAGTACATTACATTACAGTACATTACAGTACATTACAGTACATTACAGTACATTAGAGTACATTAGAGTACATTAGAGTACATTACATTACAGTACATTACAGTACATTACAGTACATTACAGTACATTACAGTACATTACAGTACATTACAGTACATTACATTACAGTACATTACAGTACATTACAGTACATTACAGTACATTTACATTACATTACAGTACATTACATACAGTACATTACAGTACATTACAGTACATTACAGTACATTACAGTACATTACAGTACATTACAGTACATTACAGTACATTACAGTACATTACAGTACATTACATTACAGTACATTACAGTACATTACAGTACATTACAGTACATTACAGTACATTACAGTACATACAGTACATTACAGTACATTACATTACAGTACATTACAGTACACATTACAGTACATTACAGTACATTACAGTACATTACAGTACATTACATTACAGTACATTACAGTACATTACAGTACATTACAGTACATTACAGTACATTACAGTACATTACAGTACATTACAGTACAGTACATTACAGTACATTACAGTACATTACAGTACATTACAGTACATTACAGTACATTACAGTACATTACAGTACATTACAGTACATTACAGTACATTACATTACAGTACATTACAGTACATTACAGTACATTACAGTACATTACAGTACATTACAGTACATTACAGTACATTACAGTACATTACATTACAGTACATTACAGTACATACCATACCATACCATACCATACCATACCATACCATACCATACCATACCATACCATACCATACCATACATACATGTATATATACACATGTGTGTGTATATATATATATATATATATTAAGGGGGTTCTTAAGTCATGGTGAATCCCCAAGTCATCATGGGTTTCAATACTAAGTCATGGTCTAACGACTTGGCTCATTTTGGGGTACTCCCATTTTAGGACATGTTCATTTGCTGGTTTAAACATCATTTTTTAGATGTACATATTAAGTACAGTAATTGTAATCATTGTGTGATTATTTAATTATGTGTTGACTTTACATGTTTTTTGGACATATCCATGGGGCTTAAGCATCACACGGGATATGGCTGTGTCCAAAAAAGGTTGATGTACGCTGATGAAACTACGATAAAATTGGGACTTCTGGTGATAAAAGTGAGATTGTATTGGGGAACTGCAGGAACCCAAGTTCCCTAGTAACAAAGCCTTTATGAGAAGATCCATATCATACTTTGCTTCCGTTGAGACTTTCTGATGTCAAGTATATCATTGCTTTGCCAACTGTTTTTTGTTGGTGGGCCAAACAGATGCGAACCTACCCTCGGGCAATTTACCATAGATTTGTAATTAAATTGTCGAAGTAACTGGGCCATAGCTTCCATAAATCCAGAGGTGTCACAGGAACTGGTCAATTTCAAAACATTCCAACAGCTCATATCCGGATCTTAAAGATATACATGTGTGTATTTGTATACACTAATTACAAATTACTAGTATACATTGCATATTCTACATAAATTTGATTACATTAAAATACATGCTGTATTATATATATGTTGTTATATATATATATTATATCATATATATAAAGTGCCATAGTTTACACATCTTGGATGTTTTTCCAACCTTGGGACCTCCGGTTTCCGCGGATTCGTGGCCTGTTTCGGAAACTCCGAGGCCTCCCTGGCAGCGCAGACAGCGCAGAAGGCTCGAGGAGTGAGGCCAGTGAGGCCGGCCAGCGGGATGTCGCGAGACTGTGCTAGGCCTAGTTTTTTATATGAAGATTATGAAGATCACTGTTGGATGAATGATGGTTTTTGAGCATTAAAATGTTGCTGAAAATAATATTAATATGTGAAAGTGATTTTTGTCCAGGCGTCCTCGAAATCGAGTCGCTGCAGGTCATTTGACATAAACTGTGTGCGACGTGAGATATCCCAATGGTGTCCCCGTGTCGCCAGCGCCAGTGCACAACGCAGTTGGACCACCTCTGCGCCGAGAAAAGTTGTTTCAACGAAGGGAGGAAGGCATCAACTGAGCCAGATTCAGAAAAAAAACAAAGTTCTTAACGTATCATTGTATCACATTGTATCGCTGTATGCTACTGTTCAAGTGCTGACCCATTCCTTTGGTTTGTTGAGAAAAACATTCCGCCCTTGTCACTGCGCAGTCTCTGAGTCTGTGATCAGGATACCTGCAGGACTTTGCGTTGTACTTCCTTGGATATGCTGGCTTGCTCATGCCCAGCTGTTGTGGTTCAAACCACATTGTATGACCTGCAACATCCTGTAACACATGGCAAATGCCTCAGCTCGAAGAGAGACCATAAAGATGGATTGAAATGGTGGATGCTTGTCATGGGTCATTAAATGTCCCCATTGAACATCACCCAACCATTAGGTATATGGTCTATAATGGCTACTATAAGGTGATGTCCAATATACCCAAAATGGGACAGTTGCCAACCCCTGCTTGTGTCCCTCATTTCTTCCGCAGGACCAGTTGGTTGCCCAGTTGTCCCCTCCAGTTCCTTCACAGCCAATGCCTTTGGGATGACCGCGTTGCCGCCGTTGAGGCGCGCCGTTGGTGATGTCCCCTGTAGATGGCTCAGCTAAGTTGGTTTGCTGGGTGAACTATGGTTTATGGTGTCTATATGGTGTCTATGAATATGAGTACAATAATTAGTTATATACATGGATTCATCAACCAACCAACAAACATCACTGGGGGCCACCACCTTGTAGATGCTTAGATATTGCAACCATAGTGACCCTTGTGGAATATCGTGGAATCCTGGAATCCACCACAAGTTCGTGAGGACCAACAGGTTGGGTTGTTGGGGCTGCGAGTCTTTGTTGCGCAGGCAATCCGTGCCGAAACTGTTGGAACGCAAGGGCAGCTCAGAAAATGCTCCCACTTTTGGCGATCTCCCAGGTCGGCTTAGGGTAATAGTCAGGGTTGCTCCATGTTGCTCCAAACACCCCAGGTACTTCCATGGGGTAAATTGATGTAAATTGTGGGGTGAATATAGAGGTAAAATATGGTAAAATCACCAATGTACTCCCCTTTGTGGCTATAATTGATCTACACTGGGTTGGAGCAACCTTGATAGTTGTGCACACCTAAATTAGTTTGTGTGAACAATTAAGTTAGAGAAAACTACACATATGGAGGTTTCCTGAAATGGGGGTACCCCTAAATCATCCAGTTTAATGGGATTTTCCATGAAATAAACCATTCATTTGGGGGTACCCCCATGACTATGGAACCCCCCTAACATACACTTTTACCCAAAAAAAGTGCACGGAATGCTGTAACGATACGCGGATGTCGCAGTCGAACTTCGCGTCTGAGGAATTCGAAGTGTTTGGCAGCAGCATGAGGTGGACCAATTGGCAGCCGACGCTGGTCCCGGGCAATTCGATAAAAATTGGGATATCATTGGGATATGATGATTTACCAATAACCATGGTATAACGATATGAAAACCAATGATTTCTATTGGAATATTGGTCATGATTTTGTAAATCCAAGTGGGTCAATGCAGAATACCTCCGATTTGATGGGTCATCATTGTCCCAAAACCATTAATTACGGATGGTACGGTATACCGCATAGCCTCTCAGACAAAGCCAGGTATTTTCAGCCCATGGTTTTTAAAGGTTAAGTAGCGAAGTGGTTTGTACATAAGGGCGATTTCTCATTGGAATACGGAATGCTTGCCGTGAAATTTTGATGCAATTTCGATTGGCAGAAATGGGGATACAATGGGAAAGCGCCTGTATCACCCGCAACAACGATGGAGGTCTATGGTCTTGGGCCTGGGATATCTGGATTGGTGTAGCCGTTAGCTATTTCAGGAGAGCACATCGAGGTTTCCAATCCATGGGGGTACCTCTGAATCATCCATTTTAGTAGGATTTTCCATTATAAACCATCCATTTTGGGGTACCTACAGTAATGGGTACCTCCATGTTAACAGGATGTTCCATTGTAAATCATCAAGACTTGGCTGATTGCCAACAAATAACCCATTGATGTTGCACTCCCTGGCACAATTCGGCTTCCATGACAGAATTTGGAATTAGAAAAGCGTGTCGTTGTTGTTTGGGTCAAAGAGTTTTGCTGCTTATTGTTCCACAAAAAGAAGCTTCTGGATATCAGTGGATGCTTCGTGTACATGATGATTCATATATATATATATATACATAAAAATTTACATATATATATATACAGATTATATACATATATAATATGACTCATAATTATGCGATGCACTACAATTATGCATTATTCTTGATTGGTTAAAAAATACCCTCCGAAGGAATTCACAGCACCCTCATCCCACTGTGGATCATGTTCCGAGGATTTGAACCGTACGTCGTTTCTTCATAAAAACCAGAGGGTACCACAGCGAGCAAGGACTCCCCCAGTTATAGGATGTTATAGGTGGGTTTATATACTAACCGTAACCTAATCTAACTACATCTAATTACATAGATATATCGATCATAAACCATTGCAAATCTGGTTACCACAAGGAACAGTTGGGAGTCCATCTTGGTGACTGTCAAGTACATTAACATGCATTAACGAAACGATCCAGAGCATCCACTTTCTGTCGATCATTTCCTACAGGATGTCCCCCCCAGTGATGTTCGTTGGTGTATAGACCCCATTAACCAGTTCTTTATCTATAGTTACCTATAGTTATCTATAGTTAACTATAGATAGCTAGTTCGTTATCTAGAGTTAAGTATAGATAACTAATGATAACTGTAGTTAACTTTCGATAACTATAGTTATATCTACGATAAACATCCATAAACCATAGTTTTTATCATGGCTATTCTATGTTCACTTACCATTTTTTTGGGTACTAAAACGCGCCGCGCGTCTCCAAGCACTCCATGGAGGTGCCCGACTGGCATCAGCTACTCTTCGAAGCCAAATATGGCGGAGGCACCAAGACTTTTTGGGTGGGATTTCATGGGAATATGGTGGGAATATGGTGGGTTATAGTTATAACATTTTATAAATATAGTGGGAAACACTGAGATTGTTTTTGTTTTTAGGATTTACATAGATCTTTTTTTGTGAGGGTCAGTGTTTTCTTTCGTTTGTGTCATGTTTTGATATTTGTTGTTTTTTTCTGGGTTTAGGGATTTTCAGGTTTAGGGTTTATGGATTTTGGATTATGTGTGCAACGAAATGCACAGGACCAGGTTCCCTGCCATCGCCGAGCTTTTCAGGAATAAGAGAATGACCCATTATTTACGGTGTTGTTTTGAGAGGGCCGAAGGCAAAGCTGTGTGCATGTGTGCTGGTATTTCCACACAATAGTAATATTGTGTGAATAATAATAATGTAGGCTGCCTAATAGTAAATCCCCCCCTAAATAAAATATATTTAAAAAACAATTAGGGGGAGGGGGGTCAGCATTCCAATAGTAATTTTTTGGAACTTTATAGCTGGGATTTGGTTGGGTTTCTGAGAGATTGGCGAAGAGTTGGAAAAGGAGAAGGAGGAGAAGGAGAAGGAGAAGGAGAAGGAGGACAACAAAATTGAAGTTGCGGAAAAAAGTTTCCACTATTGCCATGCCTGGTGCAGGTTTGTTATTGCTATTCTGGGGCTTGCAAAGGGGGTACCCTTTGTGGACCTGTTTTCTTGCTTTTTTAATAAGGGTTTTATAAGGAAATCAGCTGTTTGGTAATTGGATCAGATTTCTGGAGTCTAAGCTTTTGCTAATCAAAAGTGAAGGCTGCTTTGAAAAGGATTTGCTTTACTTGACTCTTTTGGCAATACCAAAAGTAAATGGAGCTAATTGACTTTTAGTATTGGAGAAAAAATTGGAGTTGGGAAAACAGTTTCCACTATTGCCATGTTGGGTCCACTATTGGCCATGCCCTCTGGACAAGGTCTGAACATGACTCTTTTGGCAATACTAAAAGTAAATGGAGCTAATTGACTTTTAGTATTGGAGAAAATTGGAGTTGCGGAAAGATATTTCTACCATTGACAAGATATCACTATTGGCTAGACAACATTAACAAAACACAAAATATTATTATTAATAATAATAATAATATATATATATACATATTGTTCGTATATAATATTATTGACATATGTGTGTTTATGTTTTTCCCCACCTGCCAGGTGAGGGTTGTTAGATTTTATGTCAGTTGCCTCCTCCTGCCTCGTCCTCCTCCTCCTCCTCCTCTCCTCCTCTCCTCCTCGTCCTCCTCGTCCTCCTTGTCATCCTTGTCGGCCTTGTCGTCCTCGTCGTCCTCGTCCAACTGCGACCCGCGATCCACAGTGTTCTCTGCCGGACCTCAACCACGACCATCCACGCCCAGTGTTCCCTGCCGGACCTCAACCACGACCATCCACGCCCAGTGTTCCCTGCCGGACCTCAACCACGACCATCCACGCCCAGTGTTCCCTGCCGGACCTCAACCACGACCATCCCCGCCCAGTGTTCCCTGCCGGACCTCAACCGCGAGTATCCACGCCAAAAGATATGCCACATAGAGTGCCAGAAGATATGCCAGAAAGAATGTTAGAAGATATGCCAGATAGAATGCCAGAAGGTATGCCAGATAGAATGCCAGATAGAATGTCAGCTAGAATGCCAGAAGATATGCCAGATAAAGTGCCAGAATGTTTGCCAGGTAGAATGCCAGCAGATTTGCCAGATAATATGCCAGAAGATATGCTAGATAGAATGCCAGATGGAATGCCAGAAGATTTGCCAGATAATATGCC